CCCTGAAGAGGCACTTGCAAAGACCGAAGGACCCCAGTCTACATTAAATAGAGAGAGAATTTTCTTGCTCGCTGAGACGTTGGCTCTTCCCGTCGTTGCAGGAAGCAGAGAGGCTGGTTTAAAGAGCGAAGGGAGAGAGAGAGAGAGAGAGCTTTCTTTCTTGGCAAGAGATGGCTGGAAGCTTTTTGTGAAATCTCCCATCCAACTGGTTCCAAGGAAGCTCCTGACAGAACAGGGAGATTGGTGAATCCCGCAGACAAGACAAAGAACTGCACTCTGTTCTACTCTGCTTAAGGACAGCTGCGGAAAAGGCAGTAAAATGGACACAGAGGGAAGACAGCAAGCTGTTTTATCGCTAGGAGCCCGCGGGCAAAAGAACCAGCTTTTGTTTTTAAAACTCCGCGGATGGGCAGGTTGTGCTTTCCGCAAAGCGGTGCGGATGTTTTCCTCTTTTTTTTGCAGCGTCCGCAGAATGCTTCGCTCCTCCACTAGAAAGAGGGGCGGTGGGTTTAACAGCCCCTTTCTTCTGAAATATTGTCTGGGGGACGGAATAAAGATGCGAAATCAAAATGATTTGCAAAGCAGGGCAAAACTGTTTCTCCCCATCTCTAATATTTCCCCATCTTAAACTCAGTTGTCAGACTGCGTTTTTGAAGTCCTTGTGAAAATTCACCAGCAATTTTTTTTTAGAGAGGGTGTCTCCTAAATATTTACATGCCCTGTACAATTTTCCTTCCAAATAAATGTTTGTTGGTTTTTTTTTGCAAAGCAATTTCCTCCTAAATCATGGATTCCCCCATCTTATTTACATCAATCAAATGCACAGATGGACCTGAATGTATGAATTTTGTACCCATTCGTTCCCTGAAGAGCTGCGTTGCAAAATTCATAGAATTGTAGAATTGCAAAATTGTAGAGGGGACACCACGGGTCATTTAGTCCAACTCCCTGCAGCAATAATAATAATAATAATAATAATAATAATAATAAAATAATAATTTATTATTTATACCCCGCCCATCTGGCTGGGTTTCTCCAGCCACTCTGGGCGGCTTCCAACAGAATATTAAAATACAATAGCCTATTAAACATTAAAAGCTTCCCTGAACAGGGCTGCCTTCGGATGTCTTCTAAAAGTCTTCTGAAATGCAAGAATCGCAGCCAAAGAATCCCCGATAGAAGAACAAATTGTTAAAGGTGACTGTGCTTTGGGTTCACAGACTAGCTAAGATTCCTGCATTGCAGAGGATTTTACCCTTCCAACTCTACAATTCTGTGATTCTTCCGGAAAGCGCAAATGAGGTGGGTTTGTTTTGAAGGCAAACGGAATTGAATCCTCTCCCATCTCTAGCAGGGTGGTGGGAAATCTATCTCCCTGTGCTTTTAGTCAGAGTTATTGACCTGATGCTGAAAGCAACACGCTTGTTTAAAGACCACTTAGTTCACAGCAGGGGTGAGATTCGAACCAGGAACTTGCTTAGCCATTTTTATTTTTATTTATTGAATTTATATACTGGTCTATACCCAGAAGGGACGTGGGTGGCGCTGTGAGTTAAACCACAGAGCCTAGGACTTGCCGATCAGAAGGTCGGCGGTTCGAATCCCTGCAACGGGGTGAGCTCCCGTTGCTCAGTCCCTGCTCCTGCCAACCTAGCAGTTGAAAAGCACATCAAAGTGCAAGTAGATAAATAGGTACTGCTCCGGCGGGAAGGTAAACGGCGTTTCCGTGCGCTGCTCTGGTTTGCCAGAAGCGGCTTAGTCCTGCTGGCCACATGACCCGGAAGCTGTACGCCGTCTCCCTCGGCCAATAAAGCGAGTGCCACAACCCCAGAGTCGGCCACGACTGGACCTAATGGTCAGGGGTCCCTTTACCTTTTATACCCAGAGGTCTCAGAGCAGTTCACAGAAAAGATCACAATATATAAAATCAAAACAATACCCCCCCCAAAAAAACCCCAGCCACATTTTAAAAGGGTATAGGGATGTCAATCAGATCAACCAAAGGCCTGGTTGAAAAGGAGCGTTTTCGCCTGGCATCTAAAGGTGTGTAATGAAGGCACCAGGCGAACCTCCCTGGGGAGAGCATTCCACAGACAGGGAGCCACCGCAAAGAAGGCCCTGTTCTCGTGTTGCCACCCTCCACACCTCTCGAGGAAGAGGCACACGAAGGAAGTCCTCAGAAGATGATCTCAGGGTCCGGGTAGGTTCATATGGAAAGAGGTGGTCTTTGGGGTATTGCGGTCCTGAGCCGTTTAAGGCTTTGTAGGTCAAAAACCAGCACTTTGAATTGGGCCATCACACTACCTTTCCTGCAACTTCTATTTGGGGTATTCGTTGTTTTTAATATTCTGTTTGGAGCCGGCCAGAGTGGTTGGGGAAACCCAGCCGGATGGGCGGGGTATAAATAATAAATTATTATTATAATTATTATTGTTGTTGTTGCGTTTCGCCTCCAAGGTGGTGTGTTCAGATAGCCACCCCCCTTCCCAAGTTTATTCCCACAATGACCTTGTAAGGTAAGTCAGGCTGAGAGAAAATTGAGAGATTGTAACCATAGTTTCCCCACAAGTCCCATCCCATGGGTAGGCAAACTAAAGCCCGGGGGCCGGATCCGGACTAATCGCCTTCTCAATCCGGCCCGTGGACGGTCCGGGAATCAGCGTGTTTTTACATTACGAGAATGTGCCCTTTTATTTAAACTGCATCTCTGGGTTATTTGTGGGGCCTGCCTGGTGTTTTTACATGAGTAGAATGTGTGCTTTTATTTAAACTGCATCTCTGGGTTATTTGTGGGGCCTGCCTGGTGTTTTTACATGAGTAGAATGTGTGCTTTTATTTAAACTGCATCTCTGGGTTATTTGTGGGGCCTGCCTGGTGTTTTTACATGAGTAGAATGTGTGCTTTTATTTAAAATGCATCTCTGGGTTATTTGTGGGGCATAGGAATTCGTTCATTCCCCCTCCACCCCAAAAAAATATAGTCTGCCCCCCCCCAGGGTCTGAGGGACAGTGGACCGGACCGCTGCTGAAAAAGGTTGCTGATGGCCTAGCCCAATGCTCTCACCACTATGCCACACCACCCAACCAGATTTCCTGGCCACTTGATCAGATAATAGCTTGGCTGTTGATATTGCTTCAAACAAAATGGTGGTGGCGGGGTCTCATTTGATTCTGCATCTTCGGGCCACTGAAAACATAATTGGGTTGTTTTGCTTTTTTAAAAAAGGCTGTTGGTTTTTAAAAATAAAGGTGATTTTACAAAGGCTATTTATTTATAAAGGGTGTTTTTAGGCTTCGCTGCCAGCCGCAGACAAGCAAGTGGCAGTGTCACTTTCTAGAGACAGAGTTTGTCTTGCTGTCAAGCCTTCTATATTGGATTGCCAGGTATGTGATTGCTACTCCACAAAAACCAACGAGCTCTCCACAATTTTGGTGTAGGTGTGATTGCAGAGTGCTGTGTCCACTCAGAAGCAATAAGATGAACGTCCATGGCCAATCTTCTGTGCCAAATAAGGTGTGATCTATTCAACAAAGGGCCGTATAGTTAAAGCTATGGTTTTCCCAGTAGTGATGTACGGAAGTGAGAGCTGGACCACGAAGAAGGCTGATCACCGAAGAATGGATGCTTCTGAATTCTGGTGCTGGAGGAGACTCTGGAGAGTCCCATGGACTGCAAGAAGATCAAACCTCTCCATTCGGAAGGAAATCAGCCCTGAGTGCTCACTGGAAGGACTGATCCTGAAGCCGAGGCTCCAAGACTTTGGCCATCTCATGAGAAGAGAAGACTCCCTGGAAAAGACCCTGATGTTGGGAAAGATGGAGGGCACAAGGAGAAGGGGACGACAGAGGACGAGATGGTGGGACAGTGTTCTCGAAGCTACCAGCATGAGTTTGACCAAACTGCGGGAGGCAGTGGAAGACAGGAGTGCCTGGCGTGCTCTGGTCCAGGGGGTCACCAAGAGTCGGACAGACTAAACAACAACAACAACATTCAACCCTGTGTTAAAAAGGTAAAAGGACCCTTGTCCATTAGGTCCAGTTGTGGACGACTTTGGGGTTGCGGCGCTCATCTCACTTTACTGGCTGAGGGAGCCGGCGTACAGCTTCCGGGTCATGTGGCCAGCATGACTAAGCCGCTTCTGGCGAACCAGAGCAGAGCACGGAAACACCGTTTACCTTCCCACCGGAGCGGTACCTATTTATCTATTTTCACTTTTGATGTGCTTTAGAACTGCTAGGTTGGCAGGAGCAGGGACCAAGAAGCGAGGTTACAGGGAACTAGGCAGAGGGCCTTCTCAGTGGTGGCACCTGCCCTGTGGAACGTCCTCCCATCAGATGTCAAGGAAGTAAACAAAGATCTGACTTTTAGAAGACATCTGCCTGGTTCCCTGTAACCTCGCTTCTCGCAGGGAGGGAACCGCCAGAAGGCCCTTCGGAGCTGGACCTCAGTGTCCAGGCAGAATGATGGGGGTGGAGACGCTCCTTCAGGTATGATCTGAGTGCTATTCCACACCCTGGCAAATCCCCTCTTTCTATCCCGTCTCAAAAACGTGCCGGTATCCCACGAACCAAACCCTTCCCTCTCAGAGGTTGGAATGCTTGTGAACCTTCTGTGTCACCCATCAAGCAGCTTGGTCAGCCGAGCCGATGGCCTGGTCATTTCTCAAACCCGGTTTCCGGTGGGACGTGGTACTAGCAGGCCCCGGACACCGATTCGTTGCTTTCAGCGGGGGGAAACGGTTTGATCCCGGAGCTAAACTGCCCTTTTACAAACACGCAGGCTGTTCCTTTTGTTAAAAGCTCTGCAAATGGCTACGTAATTTGGGAATGGGGGGGGGGAGAGAAACAAATGTTGTTGTTGTAGCTGTTTAGTCGTTTAGTTGTGTCCCACTCTTCGTGACCCCCTGGACCAGAGCACGCCAGGCACTCCTGTCTTCCACTGCCTCCCGCAGTTTGTTCAAACTCATGCTGGTAGCTTCGAGAACACTGTCCCACCATCTCGTCCTCTGTCATCCCCTTCTCCTCGTGCCCTCCATCTTTCCCAACATCAGGGTCTTTTCCAGGGAGTCTTCTCTTCTCATGAGGTGGCCAAAATCTTGGAGCCTCAGCTTCAGGATCTGTCCTTCCAGTGAGCACTCAGGGCTGATTTCCTTCCGAATGGAGAGGTTTGATCTTCTTGCAGTCCATGGGACTCTCAAGAGTCTCCTCCAGCACCAGAGAAACAAATAAGCAGGCGTTTTGAAACGCGGCAGCTTCGCTGATACCTCTCTTTGCCACCTGCCACCCCCCTGCTGGCTGTGTTGTCAAGATGCCTTCTCATGGCTGGGGTGTCTCAACAGGATGCTATTTTTAATTGCTCCCTGCCCGCCACGCCACAACACTTTTATTATGCACCGAGGTGCTGTTGTGGCTGCAGGGGAGAAGGCGTGGTCGAGTCAGGAGCGACTCGTTTCCCAGACGAGAGAGCGAGCGTCGAGGCTCAGACCTCTGAACAATAACCAGATTGACAGCTGACACTCAGATTCTCCACCCCCCTGCCAGAACGAAGCTTCAGGGTGACATTTGGAAGTAGATCAACTCCCCGCTGCGCCAAAGATTTTTCTCATAGGAAGCTTGAAGAGTTTTATAAATGTGCCAGCCAGTGCTATTTTTCTAGAAAATAAAAACATATATAATAAAATATATTTATTAGATACTATCCTTCCTTCCTCATGTTTGTGAGATCGGCATAGTGCTATCCCTTTGCAGCTGAAAGGGGAAGCTTAGACAGGCTGTCACCTCCAAAATATAGGACATAGGTCTTCAACCAGTGAGGGCCAGTACAGTCCATAATGTCTTGGAGCTTTCGGGGTGCAATTATCTATTCTATTGGAACTTGTTGTCCTTGTCCATGGAGTTTTTTAATGACGGTGAAAGAGGAGAGTGCAAAATATGGTCTGAAGCTCAACATCAAAAAACTAAGACCATGGCCACTGGGCCCATCACCTCCTGGCAAACAGAAGGGGAAGAAATAGAGGCAGTGAGAGATTTTACTTTCTTGGGCTCCATGATCACTGCAGATGGTGACGGCAGTCAAGAAATTAAAAGACGCCTGCTTCTTGGGAGAAAAGCAATGACAAACCTAGACAGCATCTTAAAAAGCAGAGACATCTCCTTGCCGACACAGGTCCGTATAGTAAAAGCTATGGTTTTCCCAGTAGTGATGTATGGAAGTGAGAGCTGGACCATCAAGAAGGCTGATCACCAGAGAATGGATGCTTTTGAATTCTGGTGCTGGAGGAGAGTCCCATGGACTGCAAGAAGATCCAACCTCTCCATTCTGAAGGAAATCAGCCCTGAGTGCTCACTGGAAGGACAGATCCTGAAGCTGAGGCTCCAAGACTTTGGCCACCTCATGAGAAGAGAAGACTCCCTGGAAAAGACCCTGATGCTGGGAAAGATGGAGGGCACAAGGAGAAGGGGACGGCAGAGGACAAGATGGTGGGACAGCGTTCTCAAAGCTACCAAGATGAGTTTGACCAAACTGTGGGAGGCAGTGGAAGACAGGAGTGCCTGGCGTGCTCTGGTCCAGGGGGTCACGAAGAGTCGGACACGACTAAACGACTAAACAACAACAACAACAATTGGAACTTGAGGTCCATAGAAGTAGTGAGTATCCACAGCAAGGCAGGACCCTGGACAGCTCCTAGTATAGTGGAGCTTGAGAAGATGTCTCAGCAAAGGCAGAGCCTAGGTGTGTCACAGCAAAGCTCAGGCTGATCAGACCAAAGGAGCCCCCGCTTTCCTGTCTGGACTAGGACTATGCTCTTCTGATCAGATGCTCACCCCATCAATTCTCACAAGTGCTGCAGAAGAATGGCAACACCCATTTTCAAAAATAAGATACATATTTCCTTTTCTATATACAGTGGACGCTCGGGTTGCGAACGTGATCCGTGTGAGAAGCACGTTCGCAACCCGAAGCACCGTGCGTGCACACGCGCAGGTCATGATTCGGCGCTACTGCGCATGTGCAAAGTGAGATTTAGCACTTCTGCGCATGTGCAAGCGCCGAAACCTGGAAGTACAGTGGTACCTCGGGTTAAGAACTTAATTTGTTCCGGAGGTCCGTTCTTAACCTGAAACTGTTCTTAACTTGAGGTACCACTTTCGCTAATGGGGCCTCCCGCTGCCGCTGCACGATTTCTGTTCTCATCCTGAAGCAAAGTTCTTAACCCGAGGTAATATTTCTGGGTTAGCGGAGTCTGTAACCTGAAGCGTCTGTAACCCGAGGTACCACTGTAACCAGTTCCAGTACTACTGGGTTCGGTGCAGTGCGCAACCCGAAATCGCACAACCCGAAGTGTCTGTAACCCGAGGTGTGACTGTATATAAAATAATTTTTATGGGTTTTGCAATTTAGTTTTACATTCACAAAAAGAAAAAGAAAAAAAGAATTTATAGAATTCTCCGAATTCTCAGACTTCGATCCTCCCTTCTCTGAGGGTCCTCTAGTAACCATGTTCACTGCATATCAAATTATCCTCCATTTAGCCACAAATCTCTGTTTTCTCCTATAGTTCTTTTCACATTGCAAGCATTATTTCAATCCTGCTAACGTTTTTAACTGTTTGCAGTGTTCTGTCAAATATATTACAATTTCCCCCCAGTCTTTATTGAATTTTTTATCGTCCTGATTCCTGATTTTCCCCAGTCATTTTGGCCATCTCAGCATAGTCCATCATTCCAAATTCCTCGATTTCTGGGAATAGAGTTGAGAGATGACCTAACCTGGGGAGAAAACAGCAAAGACCTGATGAAGAGAGCACAGAAGAGGTTATATTTTCTGAGAATCCTGCAGAAAAACAATCTCTCAAAGGACCTGTTGATGGCATTTTACCATTGCACTGTGGAGACTGTATTAACTTATGGTCTGTGTGTGTGGTTTGGGAGCTGCACGGTTAGGGGAAAAAACAATGCTATCCAGGGTTGTAAAGACTGCAGAGAGAATAATTGGGTGCACTCTTCCCACCTTGGATCAAATCTATGCTGCCAGGTGCCATAAGAAAGCGGCAGAGATAGCGCAGGATAGTGCGCACCCCGGAAATGATCTCTTTCAGCTTCTGCCTTCTGGAAGAAGGTATATAGGGTTATAAAGGCCAGGACTAGCCGCCTGAGAAACAGTTTCTACACAAATGCAATTCTGGTTCTAAACGCAGCATAAGGGGTCTCTATAGTATAGTGTATTTTAAAATGGGGTTTCAGAGTTTTTAGGGGGTTTTGAATGTTTTATGTAGTTTTTCAATTTCTTTGTTCTGCATGGGACAATGACAATAAAGATATCGTATATCGTTTTACTGTCCAATCTTCTCTTGTAGGTATTGTGTCGTCCTTCCATCTTTTGGCTAAGAGCATCTTAGCACCTGTAATTCCTAATAAAAAGGCTTCTGGTTTCTTTACAAAAGTTGTTTTGAACATTTTTTAAAGCTCATTATATATCATCTTTCTTGCCTTACAGGCCCACCTCATATGACAAAAGGTGCCCACATTTTTTTCCGGCCAACCACATGCTCGTTCCTTTCTCCTGCCCCCTTTGTGTAAGCTATCTTGGGGAAATAAATCAAATCAAATAATAATAATTGGGATGAATCAACCATTCCTGACAATCAAGGGCTTGTTCTCCTAAATACAAAACTCACTAAGTGTGTGTAGAGAGGAAATGAAGGTGAAAACAAAATTAGCGCTGCAGAGGCTCATCTGTTTTTTTGTTTTTCCTCCCCCTCCCAGGGAGCAAACCTGAGATGATGATCACTGCTAATTAGAAAATGGGCAGCTGCCAGTTCCTCTCATCCTGACATCTCATCCCGCCACCTTGTCGCAAGTGACGTCATTCGCCCATCCATCCCTTTGGAGCCCATGATGGCTTGCCAGCCAACTCTCCGGAGTGGGTGGGGGTGTTAAGAAGACTCCCCCAGAGACAAAGCAGAGGGGGTCGTGCTCCTCTTTTCAAGCCAGCCAGAGGAGCGCTCACAGGGGGCAGCCCTCAGTGACTCACGCAGCGTTCACACAAACACACAAGCTCTTAAGGGCTGCCAGCCTCTGAAAGTTCATTAACTCTGGACACAGGTGCAGCGCTTGGAAAAGGTTTGGATGTTCCTGATCTGCGTTCATTTCCCTTCCTGTTTTCTTCCAGTTATTATAATCGTGTTGGCTGCTTTCTCTGGTCTCCCGGCTTTATTTAAGCCATTCCATTAGGCTAGCTTAGGGACGCGGGTGGCGCTGTGGGTTAAACCACAGAGCCTAGGACTTGCTGATCAGAAGGTTGCGGTTCGAATCCCCGCAATGACGGGGTGAGCTCCCGTTGCTCGGTCCCTGCTCCTGCCCACCTAGCAGTTCGAAAGCACGTCAAAGTGCAAGTAGATAAATAGGTACCACTCTGGCGGGAAGGTAAACGGCGTTTCCGTGCGCTGCTCTGGTTCGCCAGAAGCGGCTTAGTCCTGCTGGCCACATGACCCGGAAGCTGTACGCCGGCTCCCTCGGCCAGTAAAGCGAGATGAGCGCCGCAACCCCAGAGTCGGCCACGACTGGACCTAACGGTCAGGGGTCCCTTTACCTTTACCTATTAGGCTAGCTTATTCACATTGCTTCACCTATTGTTGTACAGGCTGGCTTCTTGCTTTCATTTTTTGAACTTTTCGATCCGGCGATTCCTTACCGCACTCTGATCTGTGGTACCCAACTTCACGTTTGTGGGGAAGTGTAGCCGAAATCTTATTCCTCCTTCTCCTCTCCCTACATGCAGGGCTCGAAGAACCATTCATCGAAATGGGTAGGTAAAAAATGTAAAGGACCCCTGGACGGTTAAGTCCAGTCAAAGGCGACTGTGGGGTTGCGGCGCTCATCTCGCCCCAAATGCAGGCTTTGTTTCATTTTCGAAAAAACAAAATTTTGTTTCACGGGTTATTGCTGTTTACATTTTGAACTGGAGGCATATGGGGGCACCAACATACAATACATCTTAGGGCCTCTAAAGGTCTTAATCCAGCCCTGCCTCCGTGAATTTGTCTTTAAAAGCCATCTAGGACGGTGACCGTTGTTCCACAGTTCCATCTTGAGTGTTACAGGATGAAAGAAAGAATACCAAGTGCTCTGTAAGAGCAAATCCTCACAAATTCCAAATTTTCTTCGCTCCCTTTAAGTCAGGCATAGGCAAACTCAGCCCTCCAGATGTTTTGGGACTGCAATTCCCATCATCCCTGACCACTGGTCCTGTTAGCTAGGGATCATGGGAGTTGTAGGCCAAAAAAGCATCTGGAGGGCCTACGCCTACTTCAAGTCTTCCTTCGCCTTCTCGGATGGTCACCAGAACTCTGTAGGTTCCTCATTTATCTCCCTCTCTGTCCACCTTCCCCAGATTTTCATTTGCGAGTTTCTATTCTCGAAGAGTGGAGATGTTTTGTCATAAATAAATAAATTAAAAACACAACCCCCAGTGGATGTCGGCAGTGTGGGAGCAATTAATCATCCCGTTTTTCAATTACTGTGTGCTTTAAATAACGCCGGCGGCGATCGAGAGGCTTATATTTAAAGGCTCGCGTTGACTTCGGAGGCGCCTCTGAGGCTGCTCCTCTCCTCACGAAATCAACACCTAATTCCTGGCTCGGGGCGCCGCCTCGCTCTGCGGCGAAGGCGAACAGCCGTCCCTTCCAGCTTCGAAACCCAGAATAGCTCCACGCATGGCTGTACATCTGCGATTCTCCATATGGACTAGCACCATGCCCATCTGCCTGGCAACATGTTCCCTCGTTCGCTCTCCTCCCAGCCGGCCTTGGCTGGGCTTCCCCAGGGAGGGTGGGAGAGAAGGAGCGTCGCTTGCCCAGACTCTGAATTCGGCAACGGAAAGAAATAAATGTGGCCGTTCTTGGTTTGGGGAAGAGAAGGAAGACCTCTCTCCAGCAGTACAGTCGTAGGTAAAGGTAAAGGAACCCCTGACCATTAGGTCCAGTCATGGCCGACTCTGGGGTTGCGGCGCTCATCTCGCTTTATTGGCCGAGGGAGCCAGCGTACAGCTTCTGGGTCATGTGGCCAGCATGACTAAGCCGCTTCTGGCGAAATAGAGCAGCGCACGGAAACGCCATTTACCTTCCCACCAGAGCGGGACCTATTTATCTACTTGCACTTTGACGTGCTTTCAAACTGCTAGGTTGGCAGGGGCAGGGACCGAGCAACAGGAGCTCACCCCGTCATTGCGGGGATTCGAACCGCAACCTTCTGATCAGCAAGTCCTAGGCTCTGTGGTTTAACCCACAGCGCCACCCGCGTCCCATTTGAGACTCCTTAGGGTAGTGATAAAGCGGGATATCAAATCCAAACTCTTCTTCTTACATATCTTCAGGCACCAGGAAAAAACCTTTCGCTATAGCCTTGGGCTGCTTAGCATTCTACGGCATTTTAAATGTGTTTTGTGGGAGGGGGGGCGATGCTGGTTTCTTTCATGTGATTGCGTGTTTTGTGTTGCCATTTTGTTTTTTTCATGCCGCGACCCACCCTGCCACCTTCGGCTGGCATGCAAATCTAATACAGTGGTACCTCTGGTTACAAACTTAATTTGTTCCGGAGGTCCGTTCTCAACTCGAAACCGTTCTTAACCCGAGGCTCGCATTTGCCAATGGGTCCACCTCTGGCACACGATTTCCACCCACATCCCGGGGCGAAGTTCGTAACCAGGAGCACTGACTTCTGGGTTAGCGGAGCTCGTAACCCGAAGCGTTTGCAAGGAGGACGGTTCGTATTACTGTAAGTAATCATCTGGTTAGGGACGCGGGTGGCGCTGTGGTCTAAACCACAGAGCCTAGGACTTGCCGATCAGAAGGTCGGCGGTTCAAATATCCGCAACAGGGTGAGCTCCCGTTGCTCGGTCCCTGCTCCTGCCCACCTAGCAGTTCGAAAGCACACCAGCGCAAGTAGATAAATAGGTACCGCTCTGGTGGGAAGGTAAACGGCGTTTCCATGCGCTGCTCTGGTTTCGCCAGAAGCGGCTTAGTCCTGCTGGCCGCATGACCCGGAAGCTGTCTGCGGACAAACGCTGGCTCCCTCGGCCTAAAGAGCGAGATGACCGCAGAACCCCAGAGTCGTCCGCAACTGGACCTAACGGTCAGGGGTCCCTTACCTTTAATCATCTCGTTGGCCACTGTGAGAACAGGGTTTTGGACTGGACCGGCCCCCTTGTGGCTTGATCCTGCAAAGCTTCACCGACTTTGCCTGCGTCCTTCACTCTCCTTTGTGGCAGCACATTGTACAACTCCTCACCTTCAACACTGGGTGTGTGTGTGTGTGGAATCAGATCAAATGATATTTTGATTATTATTTCGGTCAGGCCCAAAAAGAGGAGAAGGCAAAGTTGCATCCCGTTGCTTAGCAACACATCCCAGGGCCTAGAGGCTTTTCAGACCTCCCATTCGTTGCTTTTGATGTTTAGTTGGTGGGAAATATTGGAGGGGGGGGAGAGGAGGAGGTCGTGTGCGTGAGGGGAGGCAGAAAGGTCCTTCAGGAGGTATGCATGTCTTGAGACTTGGAGAGAGATTCCTGTCCTTGCTGAACAGCTTTCCTGAACCCCTGTCTTCATCATTCCCACCACACTCCTCTCAAACTTTTATTGGGTTCAATTCTGTCCCCATTCCCAATGAGGTGTTAATAGGACCCTCCAATAACAGGAAGGGGGGGGAGCTTTTGGGATATGCTCAAACTTCCTGACAACTCACCTTCATTTTTTTCTTTTCGTAGGATCATACAAGGCGTGACCGGGAAGTTCGGTGAAACCGGACAGCGAGAAATATCCGAACATACAATTGGCATCGGAAACCCACAAAATGCTCACAATTGTGTACAGAGGTTGAAGCCGTAACTCAAAAGACAGCATACGACTGATTTAAGCATTTATGTGGAGGGCGGCAAACCATCAAAGACGACCCTCAGTCTGGCAGACCGTCGGCAAGCAGACCGTTGGCAAATGTCGACAGAGTCCGCTTGTTATTGATGTGGGATCGGCGTTTGTCCGTCCGAATGATGGCGGAAGAATTGCATATTCTGTGCGAAACCGTTCCTGAGGTTCCTGAGTTGTCCCACCCTCCATATTCTGATCTGACGTCACCGGATTTCTTTCTGTATCCGGACTGAAAGAGCACAGATTTCCCCAACATTTCACACGTCCAAGCCGCTGCGACGAGGGAACTGGAAGCAGCAGGGAAAGAGGACTTCTCCAGAAGTTTCCAACAGTTCTACGAGCGTTGACAATGGTGCGTTGTATCAGAAGAGGCCTACTTTGAAGGCCTGTTGTCACGGTCTGGTCTATGGGCGATTGAAGTCCCGGCTGAGGACGGCGGGACCGGGGGCAAGATGGCGGGGTGGGAACAGGAACGAGAGTCCAGAAGCCAGGGGTCCGAGGGTCAGGAAGAAGGGAGTCACGAAGTCAAGGGTCCGAGGGTCGAGGAGCAAGGAATCACGAAGTCAAGGGTCCGAGGGTCGAGGAGCAAGGAGTCACGAAGTCAAGGGTCCGAGGGTCGAGGAGCAAGGAATCACGAAGTCAAGGGTCCGAGGGTCGAGGAGCAAGAAATCACGAAGTCAAGGGTCCGAGGGTTGAGGAGCAAGGAGTCACAAAGTCAAGGGTCCGAGGGTTGAGGAGCAAGGAGCCACGAAGTCAAGGGTCCGAGGGTCGAGGAGCAAGGAAGTCACGAAGTCAAGGGTCCGAGGGTCGAGGAGCAGGAAGTCACGAAGTCAAGGGTCCGAGGGTCGAGAAGCACGGAGTCACGTAGTCACAAGTGAGGAGCCACCCCAGAAAAGGCCCTGTACTCGTGTCACCATCCTCCAGACCTCTCACGGAGGAGGTACACGAAGAAGGGCCTCAGAGGATTTGGGGAACAGTGCTGTGCGGCAGCTGAGAGCGACAGGCTTTCAGCGCTAGAGACCGATCCATTCCCGTCCCTAAGGGACCTCTGCCCCTTCAGTTTTTGTTTTGGGTAATCAGATCATCGACCGGTGCCGTTGTTCTGTTCCTGAATCAGGCTTCGTGTTTGATATCGCCGCCTTCCCTTTTTGTTAGCAACGGTTTCCCCTGCCCACTTTGCCTTTCATTAAAACGTATTTTCTGAATTTTCACCAACCTAGTAATTTATCTCTGCGTGGAGATACAATGACCCAGGCGGGGTGGGGATAAAGTTGCCAGCTTTCCTCCACGTTCAAAAAATAATCGCTCAAAGCATGAGTAGGCAAACTAAGGCCTGGGGGCCGGATCCGGCCCAATCGCCTTCTAAATCCGGTCTGCGGACGGTCCGGGAATCAGCGTGTTTTTACATGAGTAGAATGTGTGCTTTGATTTAAAACGCATCTCTGGGTTATTTGTGGGGCATAGGAATTCGTTCATTATCTTTTCAAAATATAGTCCGGCCCCCCACAAGGTCTGAGGGACAGTGGACTGGCCCCCTGCTAAACAAGTTTGCTGACCCCTGGCTCAAAGAGCGACAGAGAGAGAAATCGTGGCAGCCCATGTGTTTGTAAAAGACGTTGCAAAGAGGCTGAACATCATTGTTGACCCCTGCTGTGAATCAGGAGGACTGAGCGTAAACTGGAGTTGACACTGGTCGCTTCATCATGGCTTCCCCCTGGGCAACCGCAGAAAAGGTTAAGCCAGTTAGAAAGGATCACGAGAGGAATGACCACAGAGACAAGAAACACACAAACAGCACAACCGGACGCCTTCCTCTGCCCCTGCTGCAACAAAACATGTCTCTCCCGCATCGGTCTCTACAGCCACAGCAAATAACCCAGAGAAAGGACACATTCTACTCATGTAAAAACACGCTGATTCCCGGACCGTCCGTGGTCCAGATTGAGAAGGTGATTGGCCGGATCTGGCCCCCGGGCCTTAGTTTGCATACCCATGTTCTAAGCCAGGGGTCAGCAAACTTTTTCAGCAGGGGGCTGGTCCGCTGTCCCTCAGACCTTGTGGGGGGCTGGACTATATTTTGGAAAAAAATTAAATGAACAAATTCCTATGCCCCACAAATAACCCAGAGATGCATTTTAAATAAAAGCACACATTCTACTCATGTCAAAGCACGCTGATTCGTGGACCGTCTGCAGTCCAGATTTAGAAGGCGATTGGGTCAGATCCGGCCCCCAGGCCTTAGTTTGCCTACTCATGTCCTAAGCGAAGGTTTCCCATGTCCTCTTCCTCTCCCCATCAGCTCCTTTCTTAAATCACGTCCTTATCACAGAGGAGAGGGCTTTTGATGTCTACTAGCCACAATGGCTAGACTCTGCCCCCACAGTCACGACTCGCTGGAAACCCCTCGAGCCGTTCTCACCCAATTTCCCACATTTCCCATCTAGTTGGCCCTCGTGAGAGCATGCAAGCCCATCTGTGGCCAGATCCAGCACGCTCTTCTTATCTTCTAGTGTAGCCAGAGCAATAATAAATAATAATAATTTATTATTTATACCCCGCCCATCTGGCTGAGTCTCCCCAGCCACTCTGGGCGGCTCCCAATCAAGTGTTAAAAACAATACAGCGTTAAATATTAAAAACTTCCCTGAACAGGGCTGCCTTCAGATGTCTTTTAAAGATAGGATAGCTGCTTATTTCCTTCACATCTGAAGGGAGGGTGTTCCACAGGGCAGGCGCCACCACCGAGAAGGCCCTCTGCCTGGTTTCCTGCAACCTCGCTTCTCTCAATAAGGGAACCGCCAGAAGGCCCTCGGCACTGGACCTCAGTGTCCGGGCAGAACGATGGGGGTGGAGACGCTCCTTTGGGGATACTGGGCTGAGACGATTTAGGGCTTTCAAGGTCAGCACCAACACTTTGAATTGTGCTCAGAAACGGACTGGGAGCCAATGCAGATCTCTCAGGACTGGTGTTATGTGGTCTCAGCGGCCGCTCCCAGTCACCAGTCTAGCTGCCGCATTCTGGATTAATTGCAGTTTCCGGGTCACCTTCAAAGGTAGCCCCACATAGAGCGCATGGCAGTAGTCCAAGCGGGAGATAACTAGAGCATGCACCACTCTGGTGAGACAGTCCGTGGGCAGGGAGGGTCTCATCCTGCGTACCAGATGGAGCTGGTAGACAGCTGCCCTAGACCCAAAATTGGCCTGTGCCTCCATGGACGGCCGTGAGTCCAAAATGACCCCCAGGCTGCGCACCTGGTCCTTCAGGGGCACAGTTACCCCATTCAGGACCAGGGAATCCCCCACACCCGCCCGCCCACTGTCCCCCAAAAACAGTACTTCTGTCTTGTCAGGATTCAACCTCAATCTGTTAGCCGCCATCCATCCTCCAACCGCCTCCAGGCGCTCAACAACGGCTCTCCTTGTTCCGTGGGCAAAAACATGGCAACATCAGCTCCCAGCTACGCTGGTTCTTCAGGTTCGGGGATTTCAATAACACGACAAGGGGGATTTGCAGCTGAGCCGCAAGGATTTTCTTCCAGTGGCTTAAAATTCCCTGTGGGGAATCAAAAAGGCCTGTGGTCTGTTGTATCACACTGGCTGCACATGCACTGAGCTCACCCCGTCAACTCGGACAGGCTGGTGTTTGTGTTTTCTTATTTCGCCGGGTCTAGACAAGGCCACAGCAGTCTGAATTTCATCTCCTCTGCAAAACCTAGCCCTCTTCCCCCAGCAGGTGTCTGTCACTGAAGCCGTCTGAAGTGGGAGAGCAGGAAAGACTTGGACGTATGTTTCTGAGCACAATTCAAAGTGTTGGTGCTGACCTTGAAAGCCCTAAATGGCCTGGGCCCAGTATAACTGAAGGAGCGTCTCCACCCCTACCGTCCAGCCCGGACACTGAGGTCCAGCTCCGAGGGCCTTCTGGCAGTTCCATCCCTGTGAGAAGTGAGGTTGCAGAGAACCAGGCAGAGGGCCTTCTCTGTGGTGGCACCCTCCCTGAGGAACGCCCTCCCATCAGATGTCAAGGAAATAAACAGCTATCTGACTTTGAGAAGGCATCTGAAGGCAGCCCTGTTTAGGGAAGCTTTTAATGTTTGATGCATTACTGTATTTTAATATTTTGTTGGAAGCCGCCCAGAGTGGCTGGGGAAGCCCAGCCAGATGGGCGGCTTCCAACAAAATATTAAAATACAGTAATGCATCAAACATTAAAAGCTTCCCTAAACAGGGCTGCCTTCAGATGTCTTCTAAAAGTCTGGTAGTTGTTGTTCTCTTTGACATCTGGCGGGAGGGCGTTCCACAGGGCGGGTGCCACTACCGAGAAGGCCCTTCCGCTTGGTTCCCTGTAACTTGGCTTCTCACAGTGAGGGAACTACCAGAAGGCCCTCAGCACTAAGGAGAGTCTCGAGGAGCAGAGAGAGAGCTGCATTTGGCCCCCAGGCCTGAAACCCCCCTCCAACTCTGACACACAGCCAGGTCCGGACCTGAAACCCCCGTCTGACTCTATACCTTCTAAGTGTCCCCGTTTTCCAGGGACAGTCCTGGAATCACAGGAGCCATCCCGGTTTCTGATTTCATCTCCCCAGTGCCCCAAGCCATGTTCACATGCGCATCTGCAAACTGGGCCACTCGTAGACCCCTGCTGGCAAACTTCTCCCCCTATCCGCCTCCTGCCTTTTGAAACACACGCCTCCCCCCGTCGCTGCCGTCCGTCTTCTGCCTGTTTTTAGAGAACCGATTTGAGGCTCCCGCTGTGCTCTGGCGAGGAAAACAGAAGTTAATTGAATCGGCGCCGCCGCCCCCTGCAAGTCCTTGCCATGCCATCGAGACGTAAGGAAGTAGCTCCTCTTCACAGCGACCTGCTGGCTACAGGGGTCTCGGAGAACTCCCTTCGACACCCAAATTGCAGGAAGGTCGCAGTTGAAATTGCTTCCCTGCTCTGTTTTCCAGGACGGGGGCCACATTGAATTCTGGGCAGCTTTTTTGCAAACCTGTTTTGGTTTACAAACGGACCTCCGGAACGGATTATGGTTGTAAACCAAGGTACCGCTGTACAGTCGTACCTTGAATCCCGGACGCCTTGCGAGTCAAACGTTTTGGCTCCTGAACGCCGCAAACCCAGAAGTGAGTGTTCTGGTTTGTGAATGTTCTTTGCAACCCGAATGTCCGATGCAACTTCCTATTGGGTGCAGGAGCTTCTTGCAGCCAATCAGAAGCCGGGCTTTGGTTTCCGAAAGTTTTGGAAGTCAAACGGATTTCCGGAATGGATTCCGTTCGACTTCCGAGGTACCACTGTACTTTCCAAAATATGTAGTAGATTTGTGGGTGTGTGGTCAGAAGGTCGGCGGTTTGAATCCCCATGATGGGGTCCCTGCCCGGTCCCAGCTCCTGCCAACCTAGCAGTTCGAAAGCACACCAAAAATGCAAGTAGATAAGTAAGTACCACTCCAGCGGGAAAGTAAATGGCATTTCTGTGCGCTGCTCTGGTTTCGCCAGAAGCAGCTTAGTCATGCTGGCCACATGACCCGGAAAAACTGTCTGCGGATAAACGCCGGCTCCCTCGGCCTGTAAAGCGAGATGAGCGCCGTAACCCCAGAGTTGTCCGCGACTGGACTTAACTGTCAGGGGTCCTTTACCTTTACCTTTTGTGTGTGTGTAATTAATATAAGCATGGACGCGGGTGGCGCTGTGGGTTAAACCACAAAGCCTAGGACTTGCCGATCAGATGGTCGGCGGTTCAAATCCCCGCGACGGGATTTGAACGTTGCTCGGTCCCTGCTCCTGCTAACCTAGCAGTTCGAAAGCACCTCAAAGTGCAAGTAGATAAATAGGTACCACTCTGGCAGGAAGGTAAACGGCGTTTCCGTGCGCTGCTCTGGTTCGCCAGAAGCAGCTTAGTCCTGCTGGCCACATGACCCGGAAGCTGTACGCCGGCTCCCTCGGCCAGTAAAGCGAGATGAGCGCCGCAACCCTAGAATCGGTCGCGACTGGACCTAGTGGTCAGGGGTCCCTTTACCTTTAATATAAGCATTTTTGTGCATCCTTTGCCCTAATCAACACATTTTGCCTGCAGCGTTTGGGCTGTAAGATTTCCCTGGAAAATCTGTGCAACTCTTGAAGGATAGCTGTGTTCTGATTTGTCTACTGGGTCTGGAAGAGGGCATCAAACAGGATTGCATTTAAAAACACAAACTGAGCAAATCTCTCTCTGCACCCCTATTCCTCCCCCAGCCATCCACTTCCTGGGTGTCCCCTGTTGCAGGGATTTATGTATAGGTTGTGGGGGTTGCCCCTCCAGCAGATATCATGCACATGCAGCCCACTACCAAAACCAGCACAATCGATTTTGTGGCTTTTGCGATTCGTCCCCACAAAACACTTCATCACAGTTTATTCCTATCTATTCAAAGGGCCTTTGCTGCACGATACCAAATGTAAGAATTCACTGATAAATGTATCTATGTACTGGCTCACTGGGAAAACTTCAGAAATTCATATAGACATGTGAGCTCAGCTCCTCAGCAGCCCCTCTGCCTGAGTGATAATCCCTGGCCTCCTGATACCTGAGTGCCAGACAGGTAGCCATTCCAGAACTAACAAACCCAGATGAAGACAAAAGGGTGTGATGAACTTGGCTGGGAAACAGGGAAATGTAAATATCCCTTTTGTTACACTTGATAGGTGTTTGGTGGAGGGCAAGGAGAACCATGGGGCAGGGTCCAGGATGCTCAGATTCCTGCCACCAGACCTCCTCCTTCATAATGTAACCATGATGTATTAGTAGTTTGGGGGGGTGTAACATGGGGATTAAAAAGTTAAAGGGGCCCCTGACCATTAGGTCCAGTTGTGACCCACTCTGGGGTTGCAGTGCTCATCTCGCTTTACTGGCTGAGGGAGCCGGCATACAGCTTCTGAGTCATGTGGCCAGCCATCTGGCGAACCAGAGCAGCGCATAGAAACGCCGTTTACCTCCCGCCGGAGCGGTACCTATTTATCTACTTGCACGTTGACATGCTTTCGAACTGCTAGGTTGGCAGGAGCAGGGACCGAGCAACGGGAGCTCACCCCATTGCGGGGATTCGAACCGCCGACCTTCTGATCGGCAAGTCCTAGGCTCTGTGGTTTAACCCACAGCGCCACCCGTGTCCCAAAAAACATGGGGATTAGCAGCTAATAAAGGTTGGGGTCTTCTTTTGTTCGGGGCTTCCATCTTGTTCCACCTTGTGGCAGGTGGGAGTCCTGTCGCAACCGTAGACCAAGCCTACTGGCTGCTGTTTTGCTCCAATATTCCTGCTTGGTGTCTTTGCTTTTTGTCCAAGGGGGCCCTCGGATTTCTCTGTTAACACCCCCAGGCCCCGATCCCGATTCCCACGGCGCCATCCTTCGACTCAGCATAGTAATGCGTCCACCAGTCTATCTTCGCTCGGCTGTGTCAGGAATGTCTGAGACGTGAAACCAGCGAGGAGGGGGGGTTTAATGGGAGCCGGTCTTTCTCTCACACATCAAGTGGTGCTTCCGTGAATTGTTAAGCTCTTGACGCCAAGCCGCCCGGAAGGTCGATGCTCTCGGATGCTCGCTTGCACCACGCATCCACTCTGCCGGGAGGGAGCCAAGAGATGCTCTCTTTGCCGCTGGCGGAAATTGAAGCCGCCTGGCTCGTGCAAAATCCTGGCTCCCAAGTATTACGGGTAATGTTGACGGCCCGTTTTCCGACCACAGCATCGTCGAGGAAATAGGAAAATGCGTCCTCATCCAGTCTTCGCATTCTTTAGAAATAGATGCTGGCAGCCAAGCCAATGCCACAGGTGCGATGGGAGCCCATCATGCGAAAACCTCTTCACCCAGTACAGATGAGTTTGTTACATTTGCATGCCTCTGCTCCCAGAGAGCCAGTGCGGTGTAGTGGTTAAGAGCGGTGGACTCGTAATCTGGTGAACTGGGTTCGATTCCTCGCTCCTCCACATGCAGCTGCTGGGTGACCTTGGGCTAGTCACACTTCTCTGAAGTCTCTCAGCCTCACTCACCTCACAGAGTGTTTGTTGTGGGGGAGGAAGGGAAAGGAGAATGTTAGCTGCTTTGAGACTCCTTAAAAAGGTAAAGGGACCCCTGACCATTAGGTCCAGTCGTGGCCGACTCTGTGATTAAACCACAGAGCCTAGGACTTGCCGATCAGAAGGTCGGCGATTTGAATCCCCGCGACGGGTTGAGCTCCCGTTGCTCGGTCCCTGATCCTGCCAACCTAGCAGTTCGAAAGCACCTCAAAGTGCAAGTAGATAAATAGGTACCGCTCTGGCAGGAAGGTAAACGGCGTTTCCGTGCACTGCTCTGGTTCGCCAGAAGCGGCTTGGTCCTGCTGGTCACATGACCCGGAAGCTGTACGCCGGCTCCCTCGGCCAATAAAGCGAGATGAGCAACCCCAGAGTCGGCCACGACTGGACCCAATGGTCAGGGGTCCCTTTACCTTCAAGTAGGCTGAAGCAAAGATTCTTCAATATCAACTTGGTTGGACTGGTCATGTTGTGAGGATGCCTGGTTATTGTCTTCCGAAGCAAACTACTCTATTCTGAACTTAAAAATGGGAAGCATAATGCCAGTGGTCAACAAAAGAGGTTCAAAGACTGTCTCAAGGCAAATCTAAAAAAATGTGGTATAAACACTGATAACTGGGAAACACTGGCCTGCAAGTGTTCCAGTTGGAGAACAGCCTTTCCCAAAGGTGTCGTGGGCTTTGAAGACAATCAAACTCAGGACGCAATGGAAAAACGTGCTAAGAGGAAGCCACGCTTGGCAAATCCACACTGTGATCAACTCCTGCCCGGAAACCAATGTCCCCACTGTGGAAGGACGTGTGGATCCAGAATTGGCCTTCACAGTCACTTATGGACTCATTGTTAAAACCGTGTTTATGGAAGACAATCTTACGCGGCTACGAGGGATTGCTGAAGAAGAAGAAGAAGTAGGTTCCATCATAACTTGTTTACACTGTTGAATTTATCTTAATGTTGCCAGCGTTTTCAGCTGTACACAGTTATTTCCCATACATTCAATAAACGTTTTCCAATCTTCTCTAAACGTATGCCCTTCTTGTTCTCTTATTCTATATGTTAAGTCTGCAAGCTGCGCATATTCTGTCAACTTAACTTGCCATTGTTCTTTGGTTGGGACCTTGTTCGATTTCCATTTTGGGGCTAACGAAACACTAGCCGCAGTAGTGGCATAAATAATCTTTATTGACACCTGGGAATTTCAGTCTGAATTATCCCCAATGCCCTGCCCACTTTTGCCTGTGGCCCCCAGACGCTTGCACACAAGGGATGGCAGCCCCCCGGGACGTAAAACAGGTGAAGGTAAAGGATCCCTGGACAGTTAAGTCCAGTCAAAGGCGACTATGGGGTTGTGGCGCTCATCTCACTTTCAGGCCGAGGGAGCCGGCGTTTGTCCACAGACAGCTTTCCGGGTCATGTGGCCAGCGGGACTAAACCGCTTATGGCGCATGACGGAAACCAGAGCATGTGGAAATGCCATTTACCTTCCCACTGGAGTGGTACCTATTTATCTACTTGCACTTTGACGTGCTTTCGAACTGCTAGGTGGGCAGGAGCTGGGACAGAGCAACGGGAGCTCACCCCGTTGCAGGGATTTGAACCGCCGACCTTCTGATCGGCAAGCCTGCTCTGGAGTCCCTTCAAACTCCCCTCACAGAAAACACCCACCAGCAGCCAACTGATAACCCCAGATGCTGCAGTGAAGCCAAATCGATGTCTCGCCCTGCAAACTCTGTTTTATTAAAAGCTACCCCCAAGCACGCGGAAAGCTACCAGCTTCCCTTGATGGTGGTTTTCTTCTTCTTCTTCTTCTTCTTCTTCTTCTTCTTCCTCCTCCTCCTCATCTTCTTCTTCTCCTCTTCCGCAGCGCAGAGGGTGTTTGGCCCAGATTGCGAGATGTTGAGTTGGGGGAGCTTTCCCTGGGAGCAGGGGAAGTGGACAGTCTAATCAACGCTCGGGAGAAAAAACCGCAAGGCCTCGAGAGGGTAATAGGTTCCCATAGCAACTTTTGACACAGATTTTTTTGGGGGGAGAGGAGGGGGGCAATGGATGAGAGAGCGTGGGGGTGGGGGAGGGGATAAGTGGTCGGGAACAAAGAGGGATGAGAGAGTGGCCTGGAACGCTGGACGGATGGATGAAGAGCTGTGCCGATTCTGACATTTCTTGCTAAGAGTGACCAGCCAGAAACCCCCAGGGAAAATGCACTTGTTGTTGTTTAGTCGTGTCCGCCTCTTTGTGACCCCCTGGACCAGAGCATGCCAGGCACTCCTGTCTTCCACTGCCTCCCGCAGTTTGGTCAAACTCATGTTCGTAGCTTCGAGAACACTGTCCCACCATCTTGTCCTCCGTCGTCCCCTTCTCCTTGTGCCCTCCATCTTTCCCAACATCAGGATCTTTTCCAGGGAGTCTTCTCTTCTCATGAGGTGGCCAAAGTCTTGGAGCCTCAGCTTCAGGATCTGTCCTTCCAGTGAGCACTCAGGGCTGATTTCCTTCCAAATGGAGAGGTTTGATCTTCTTGCAGTCCATGGCACTCTCAAGAGTCTCCTCCAGCACCATAATTCAAAAGCATCCATTCTCCGGCAATCAGCCTTCTTGATGGTCCAGCTCTCACTTCCATAAATCACTACTGGGAAAACCATAGCTTGAACTATACGGACCTTTGTTGGCAAGGTGATGTCTCTGCTTTTTAAGATGCTGTCTAGGTAGGGACAACTCTGCTACTTAACCACCACCTTCCTCGCTCAGGACACCGAACTCAGAGGGATAAGGCTTGGGAGATGTTGCACCATGGAACACACCTGCTGGAAGATTCATAGCATCTTAGACTTGGGAGGGACCCAAAGGTCATCTAGTCCAACCCGCTGCAATGCAGGAATCTCAGCTAAAGCACCCAGGACAGATGGCCATCCAAGCTCTGCTTAAACACCACCCAGGAAGGGGAGCCCACCATGGTCGAACAGCTCTGACTGTCGGAAAGATGTTGAGTCGGAATCCTCTTCCTTGTAACTTGAAGCCACGGGTTCGAGTCCTGCCCTCCAGAGCAGGAGAAAACAAGCATGCTCCCTCCTCCGTGTGGCAGCCCTTCAGATATTTTAAGGTTAGCTCTCATATCTCCTCTTTTCCAGGCTAGACATACCCAGCTCCTTCGACCGTTCCTCATCAGGCTTGGTTTCCAGACCCTTGATCATCTCGGTCGCCTTCCTCTGCCCATCTTCCAGCTTGTCAACATCCTTCTTAAATTCTGGTGCCCAGAACTGGACACAGTATTCCAGGTGTGGTCTGACCAAGGCAGAATAGAGCGGGACTATCAAAAAATTAGTTTCTTCTCTAGCACGGTGAATCGTCAGTTCCACTGCTATCCCTAATATCCATTTACTGTATTTATTTCCCCCCAATTTGAACTATAAAATGGTGATTTTTCTTGATTCAGAATGAGAGTACCCCTAAACATTTTATTAGAAAAAACCCCTCACTGCTAGTACCAATCATTCAAATACCAAATTATATAATTTAGGTCACCTCCCCCCATCCCCGCGAGTTCAAATTAATGGTTTGATGGTTTTCTTTATTTCTGCGTTCCAAAATCTTAACTTCAGCTACATTCTGGTTGAAATAATAATCACTTATACAACAACTGCAATATTCATAACTTCCATTTCATGTCGACACATTAAGTGATTTATGAAAACTACAAGTGAGGCAGGCAAACCATATCCTTGTTCTCCCTGTGTGCGGCAATTAATTCTGTCTGTGATTGAGGAATGATGGAGAACAGCAACAGGGAAAAGATAGATGTAACATTTTACAAGAAAAGGTCCTTCTCCTTAGCTGCACCTTCAACTTTCGTATATAAAGAGATGGTTAGACGTTTGAGTGGGTGGCATGTGGCTATGATATAAGAAACAGCGAGGCAGGGAGAGAGGGTAAAATTTTGTGGGAGATTGGGATTCAAGCTCAAACACTGCCCTTTGATAACCGAAAGCACCAACAAGCCAGGGAAAAAATGACAGAAACGAATAAGCAAGGATAGTCCAAGTTTAGAGACATCACCTTGCCAACAAAGGTCCGTATAGTAAAAGCTATGGTTTTCCCAGTAGTGATGTATGGAAGTGAGAGCTGGACCATAAAGAAGGCCGATCGCCAAAGAATGGATGCTTTTGAATTCTGGTGCAGGAGGAGACTCTTGAGAGTCCCATGGACTGCAAGAAGATCAAACCTCTCCATTTGGAAGGAAATCAGCCCTGAGTGCTCACTGGAAGGACAGATCCTGAAGCTGAGGCTCCAAGACTTTGGCCATGAGAAGAGAAGACTCCCTGGAAAAGACCCTGATGTTGGGAAAGATGGAGGGCGCAAGGAGAAGGGGACAACAGGACAAGATGGTGGGACAGTGTTCTCGAAGCTACCAGCATGTTCTCGAAGCTACCTTGAACCACAGTTCCAGAAGGACACTGACAAACTGGAACGTGTCCAGAGGAGGGCAACCAAAATGGTCAAAGGCCTGGAAACGATGCCTTATGAGGAACGGCGAAGGGAGCTGGGCATGTTTAGCCTGGAGAAGAGGAGGTTAAGGGGTGATATGATAGCCATGTTCAAATATATAAAAGGATGTCACATAGAGGAGGGAGAAAGGTTGTTTTCTGCTGCTCCAGCGAAGCGGACACGGAGCAATGGATCCAAACTACAAGAAAGAAGATTCCACCTAAACATTAGGAAGAACTTC